GAAATTCGAAGACACTGATGAACTTCTGATAGGTTCGTAAAAACCTCAGATCATCTCTCCTCGTTAGATACGTCAACATTTTGAGAAATTTTCTCTGGAATGCAACAAATTTTCTGTCAACTTAAAACCGATATACACAGACTGGATCAGAGCTAACATATTTTGATACATTTTACATGTAAGTACTCTTAATGGGCTGTTACTGACACCAAAGGGATCATAAAACTCTGCCTAATCTTTTCATGTGTACCCATAAAATGCTTTGTCATCTATTTATGTACACGCAAGTTAGCCTAAAACACCTATCTGTATTGATGAGTGTTATGGGTTTGTACTAGTTCAGAGAAAGTTACTCAATCATTAAAATCAATTTCAAGAGGTTCTTCTGAAGAACCTAGCTTTGTGCAGGACCAATGTCTTTAAATGTGCAGATTTGATACAGCGATGATGGGGAAATTTATGTGATGATACAGCGATGATGGGGAAATTTATGTGATAGAGTAGAATATACGGGTGTTAGAAAGTGTTTAAAGATAATAATTACCCTCCCCCCTCCTAAGCTCTGTTTATTTTCTTCTTTAAAACACATATATATTACCCATTTTTTTTCTACTTGGAAACCTCCCCCACTCCCTAAGTTTTTCGATCCACCTGAAATTACTTTACAATTTTGCACATCCCCATTTGAAGGGATAAGATTTGGATCTCAATAAAGAAATTTCTAGTTAGCACATCAGGTCATATCTGGATGAAAGCCAAGTACTTCCTTCAAGATTTTATCAGAACTTGGGGACCTCTTGGCCAAACGACCACCAATAAAAATATATGGTAAGATGGGAGTTTTATTGGGTCTAAAACGGATGATCAGTTTGATTTGTTAGGAAGACATTAAGAGAAATTTAGTTGAATTTCACTGCAAATATCCATCCAAAAAGTTCATTTCCATATACGAAGTACTCAATTTCTTTGTCTCTTTGGGGAACCTCCAAAATTATCTCAGTTTTTGCGAAAGAACAATAAGGATTATGTACACTGAAACCAAATTATCCCTTTGAGTAAAGAAAGGCCTTAACTCCTCTGTGTTCCAAATAACCGTGTTTTACTGTTTACAGGGTAAATTTATATATATTCCACTCAAAACTAAAAAAAAATCTAACGAAATTTACGGAGATAAATAATTCAGTTTCCTCTCTCCCACACATGTATCTATATACACAGCAAATTCTGTCTGTTAAAGGGAACGTAAAAATAAAATAAATCAATAAAAAACAACTGGCATTGTTGACAAACAGGTTGCACTTCCACCTTGTAAACGTTGATGTTGTAACCGCCCTAGACTCAGCCTTAATTACAGGTAACGTATCAAATATTTATTATTTCTATACATTTGTTTCCTAATCAATGTCCGCCAGGCAATCTACGAGACGCCGCTCCCGTAACAAGTACCTGTATACATGTGATACCTTACAAGGGCTGTAAACTGGCCTACTGCTCTCTAATTAAAATGGACGGAATCATGGAATTCGCAATGAACTTTCATCTGTAATTAAATATACACAATTCCTGGCGTTCACAATGAACATCAATCAGTTTTTATTATGATGAAGTCCCATTCTTTTTTTTTTATGGTGGCGAACACTTGTTCTCCAATTGTTTGACATCAAATTAAGAATAATTTAACTCGTCCCATCTTCGGAAGAAAAACAGAATTTCAATAAGGTGCATGTACACTCTGTGCAAAATGGAGAACCCATGCAAAGGGTTAATTTGGCCAATTCGCAGAGTTCCCGATCGTAGCGTTAAATATACATTGCTACTCTTGGGATCAAATTCTTTGGTCAGTTTAGACAAAAATCTGGATTGGACAGAGTCGGGCTTATACAGTGTACTGTATATAGTTTTAATAAGTAATTGACTTCAATTCAAAATGTCTCTACGCACAAGTGCAAAACTTCACTTAGTTGATAAACATATTTTCTTCACCTATTAGGGAATTAACTGGTGAAAACAATATTTTTTGTAACAGTTTTGGGTTCTTGGTTCGGTAAACAAGATAGAAATATTGAATATCCTCGAGTACCTGTGTCTTGTTATGTTCTTTATTGTTGGCTATAAACAACAAGATAGGACACAGCGAGACATCTATTACATGAACAACGATCTGATTTAAATAGCTGTGCGTCATCAAGTATTTATTTCACGAAAGGAAAGTATTGGGTTTTGACAAGACAGACCGTGTTTACCTGTAGCAGGTACTCAAACGAAACCTTATCTACCAAACAATCCAACGCTTCAGGATATTACTAGATGTTGAAATATGACCCCCCCCCCTACACACACACACACACACACTTTACAACACCATAAGTGAGTCGGTTTCTGCCATAATCGATAAAGATAGTGTCTTTTCCATTTATTCCTGGTTATAAGAATTCTAGATACAAAACCATAAAACGATTAAGGACACCTTTTTGCCTCGCTGTCTATCCAGATTTTCAAATAATAGCTCTAAAAATACATCGACGTGGAGATGTCCTCGTGATATTTGCTTAGATCGTCATTTGACTGTTTTTTTTTACCCAAAACCAATATTGACAGCAAGCACACAAGTCCAATGAATTATATTTTAACTAGAACACAAGCAAACTGTTCACATTCTATACCTTCCCGGAAATTCCATACCTTAAACCTCAATATATAAGATAACAATCCCAGGTTGTTCATAATTTTTTTCTTCTTCCTGTCTCAGCTTAGGAGCATAAATGCTATACATAGTTCATATTTTTCGAAATAACTCGCCAATTATAGAAATGAACTGTCACTTTTCCCTTGATAATAGCCTCAAAAGTTTACATGTCTTTATTTAGACTTTCATGGAGGTCTATAGCTTTTAATCTTGTACAAACATTTTTAATTTACATTTAAACATAAAAAGTGTTTAATGTAATGAACTTGTTCAAGCAGAAAAAATGTGGATTGGAGAAACTGTTACAGATCTCATAAAATACAACCTGTATTGAAAATAGAAAACAAGTATTAACACAGAACTGGTTTCAGAAAACAATTGTGGGGCCAACTGTCATTTACGTGGTATTTTACAAAATTTAAGTGAGTACATCTTTATGTTCACAAACATGATCTCAACAACAATTTATAATTATTACCAATACACTTTATTTTACTAGTCACAAACAAGTTTTGTTGTTTCAAGAGTTTTCAGGGACAGATTTGATCCCCTTTATTTTTTTAAAATTGTCTCATTATTCCCGATATGTTGAGGAACAAGCTTTTCTCTTTTTTCCTATAAAAACTTCTCTCTTTTTTCCTATTAAAACTTTTCTCTTTTTTCCTATTAAAACTTGAGTGATCCAGAAAATTAACCCACTATTTCTGAGAAGGATGGTGGCTAGTTTAAACCCGTCTGTTTTTCTTCAAAATTTTCCAACATGATCTCTTCCTCTGAACATATACATACTAGCTGGTATACACATGCCAGACCTATCCCATTCAAAGTCCTATCGCATTTCCACATAACTCGTCACATATTTCATAAAAATCACATCAATGACTAACACCAATTTACATTAAACTGATATGTGGTTTAGGTCTACTGATCTACATGCTAAACAAAATTATAATTATTATTAAACTTTAATATTGATATTACCGAATGTGGTGTCCTCAAGACTTTTATCGAAATAAACAATCTGACAAAATTTTAAATCAAAACTATACGTCGAAAAATCTCCATTTAACATCATATTGATGGATTTCCTCATTAAATCTGACGTTAATCATTGTATGTACTTTACATAATACTAGTTCAGAGAAATAATGTAATTTTCGTAATAATTTCTGAAATTTTCAAGTTATAATGGTTAAAGAAATATGTCACATACAAATGTAGACGGCAGCCACACGGCCAAAGCAAAAATTCGAAAAATATATCTATCTATGTTGGCCCGTTTGGTTTAATGGTTAACAGCAGTACGAGTGTTTTCGGCTTACCATTTAACAAACAGGTCTCCAAACAGACATGTAAAAACGTCATTGGTAGCGTCCATCCTGGGCCGCATATACGGGTTGTTGTACCCATGTTGCTGGTGATGTTGGGGGTGGGAGGGGGTCATCCCCGGGTGGGGTCCATGGTTGTGGCCATGGCCATGGTTATGATGGTATGGTCTCATGTGATTGGTATATTCTGAAAACATCATCAGGACGGGCTGAAGTGGAGATCCAGCAAGTTCGGCAAAATGTTAAAAAAACTGTTTAAGTTCCACTGAAATAAAGTCCTTCCTTTCGGAAATTTTGTACCACACAAATGTCACAATTTTTCTCTCTATTCACAAGGACAAAAAAAAGTAAAATATAAGCACCAGTTGTATTTATAAAAAAAATATATGTCAAGTATCTAAAAAAACATTCCACGAAAGTGTGTTGAAAAATAAAACCAGAGCGAAAATTTCACAGTGTTTCATCGATATACGTTAGATATCCCTGAGGTAAAAAACACAAAACATCTGAGCACTTGGTCAGCCCAGAAACACAACAAGGGCCAGCCAAGGGAAATAGCACTATTCCGGTCAATGTGTATAGTCCATGTGAGTCCTATTCCATGTTGTGTTGTGTACAAGCTGTAGGGATCAACTGATTGTCAGTCCAGTGACACAGCAATAGACACTCCAATACACCATTCACCGCCTGTAAGTATGCATGGCCTCTCTCTATCCCAGCCTGTTGTGTATTACACAGCCATATAGACCTCAGTTCAACTAAGTTCGACTCTTACCCTACGAGTTCCCAGTAGTATACACACAGCTCTGAAGGCCTTGCCTCGGCTGTAAGCTATAGCCTAATACTGTATGTGTACCTCAGCCTGGCAATCGCTGATCAGTGCATTCAAGTGGGGGCCGTTGGGTACTCCGATCAACTGCTTTTGTAAACAAAGTGTGTCACGGGGGTGAGTCAGTACACTTTTCGCTGTATAGCCAACCACATCGCTAGCCAGCTCCATACAATATGCTAAGCCCCGCCTCCTGAGGCACCTAAGGACATCCAAGTCACTGCATTTACATATAGATTTCCTCATTTTCTTCAATCTATCATTATTATAATCACTTAGTTAGCAAGAAAATGAATGATTTCGAGATATGTGTGCAGCTGTATTATTATCAGTTAAATCTGCTACCTGTATCTGAGTTGATGTTTCACCAGTTTGGGCTATGGGACGTTTTCCAATGACAGCTTCTAAAACTGTTGAATACTGGATGGAGAGATTATTACGAGACCCTGTTTGACAAGGTAAGTAAAACGACATAATCGAAATAGACATTTCACACACTGGATACCTGTCATCTGACCCGGGGGCTGCGTGACCCTCCAGTGGCAATAGGATCCCTAGTACGAAAGTCCCATCAATACTGCCGATTGTTATATCATATTTCACGTACACCTAATACAATTTAAAATAATATTTTTAATGTGAAGAATTTGTATCCGTCTTCGACACAATTTTAACTTTTTTCTTTCCGTTTTTGTATTACAGAGGGCTCTTTATTACAGGGAGTTATCTAATTACCAAGTGAAATTAATCGGATTTGTTGATAAGATTCCGAAGGAAATATAAATCAACATGTTCTTTGCTTGCAACTAATGAGCAACACTGATCGTCATACATTAAATGGCATGTCACTTCTGCCTATTAAAATTCTGACGGAACCATGCAAGATGCAAGTGACTCGAAATCAAAACAAAAACAGGTGTTCGTGATCTTTCAACTGACAATACTAATACATCAAAATACAATATTTATACTATATTTCACCATGTCTCCCTAATCAAACGTCATATTAAACTCAAAAAGTTGTCATGATTTCATCATTGTAACGTAATAACGCATACTAATTAGACCTGTTTGCATAGAAGTACTCAAGACTATCAACCATCTGACAGCTGATAGCATTTCAGCTGTCAATATTATTGAAATTTTCTTAAACAGATATCAAATCTAATAATAACAAATTACCCTGGATCTAAGAATTTGTTTTCCTTGAATGTCCTGAATTTGAATTCCAACATTTCATAACTAACATACTAACTGACATTTAACCTAAGTCCACCTAATATAAATGTATCTTGCTACTATTTACCTTAAAACTAATCAACACATATAAATAGTTTAATGGAACGTTCACCTCAACAGAAATAATATTCATGTATAAGCTATTGAATGAATTTAATTGCATCTGTTTTTATTTTCCCATTTGAGATGAAACACTTCCTGTTACATCTTTTTGACATGCAAAATTATTCAATTTTATTCAAATAATTTGAAAATCTTTTATTGCTAGCATACTGAAAGTAAAGAAGGATGTTTTTTTCACAACTTTTTTTATTTTTCAAAACACCCATGTGATTAAACTATGGCCTTAAATGATGTAAAATTCCCTCTTCTTTATTATTTTCCCTCATATTATATCGAGAATAATTACAATTGGAATTGATTTTTTTTTGACTACATGAAAATATTACTTTTTCATTCACCCCTGAAGACACATTAAACTCTTCCAATTCAAAGGTTGGAATAGTTCATTATAAAATTTCAGGGGTGAATGAGTTAAGGTAAAGGGTAAAGCTGCATAAGTTTTTCGCACTTTTAAGCTTTTTGTCCTGTGCTCGGTTATAACCAGAACAAGGAAGTAAAGCCCCATCAATCAATCAATTAACAGCTTTCTGTTTTAGTATTCTCCCTTATATATAGTAGATTACCAGTCAGAAGGAGTATTTCTGGCTTAGAGTTACTCCCCTTGTCAAGGTATTCATCTTTCATCTTGATGCTTTGCATTCATAGTTCCTTGAGAGTGTACAGGTCCCAGGTAAGATCCCTGTAATTTATGTTTTTTCATTTTTTAATGTTTAGTTTGTTTTCAAATATATGTAGTCAATTTTAGAACATGTCATCCTAATTCTTTGAGATGTGATATATGGAACCCCTCTGTAGGAATGGACTATAAAAAAGACAGAGACAATGAAAATACTATATGATAAAATTTGACGGAACTTTTTACCTTAAGATGATGAATAATTGGTGCATGTATAGGGGCATCTGATTGACATAAATGTTAATAGAATGATATTAATGGAAAATAAATTAGCATATGAATTCATAAATATTTAGAACTGTAAAATTACATTTTTACAAGCAGTTTTCGTTTTGATATGATTAAAAATGAAAATATGAATATGACAACATGTGTGTCTGTGTCAATAACATGCTTGTAACGGTAACACAGTGCTGCATAATTTCTGAGTGAGCTGTACGTTTGAATATTTGACGGGTTAGTACAACTTCTTGTTCTTACCAAACGTCTGTCTCCTGTTCATGTAATCATCTAGAATTTTACTTCCAACGGTCATCCCAAACATAAAATAATTATGAAGTTTCATCAACATTTTATAGTGTAGGTTGATAAGAGACTCAGATGAATCGGACTCGACATTTACAGTCCTACATTGGAGTTAACGCCAAAAGGTAATATAGAACCTAATCAATCAAAAAATATTCTAGGTGAAATTCAACCAATATATTCTAACCTGAGACCCCTAGTGCAACAAGGTGAGTGAAAGGGTGAATATTTAACTCCATCATTTAAATCCTAGCCCCACTATACTTGATATGCAATGACACAAATTCAACCTGTTGAATATCATTACATTTAAAGCTGATCTCATAAAAATTGGATATTAGATACTCAAATAACCCTATTTTAAGAAACTTGACAAATATAATTTAAAATTAAAATCTGAAAACTTGAATCACCGAGTAGATATGATCTTTTGAAAGCATATATAGGGTTTAGACCACCTTGAAGAATTCTACAAGGAAAACTTTAATAATTTATGTACATCATGATATTTTATTATTCAAATAATACACGTACAATTAGGATGACATCAGATTCATTTTAATGAACAGAAATTATAATTGTTGATATTGAAAGACTACATACCGTGAAGGTTTCTGAAATATGGTATGGCACTCAAGGTGCAAAACATTTTTTTCTTTCTATATCTTTGAAGCTAGGCAACATGACCTTCACCTTTGACCTTTGAAATATTGATAACACTCAAAACATTCTCCATAAGCGACTGACCTTGTAAAATAGACTTCTGATTATTTTTTCTTTCTCATATCTTGGTAAACAACTTTGTTAAATATGTTGATATTTAAAACAAGAGGCCCATGGGCCTTAACGGTCACCTGAGTCTATAGTATTTATTTTTGTTGTTGAAATATGTACCAATTTGAGTAAAAAATATTATAATGTTAACTTAACTTTGTCAGGACCATGAGGCGATCATTCCTATCAACTTTCAGTTCAATCGGCCCAGCAGAACTTGACTTTAAGTTTGAAATGTAAAATGTTAACGGACGACGGACGACGACGGACGAAAACGGATAGCAATAGGTCACTTGAGCTAAAGCTCAGGTGACCTAAAAAAACCCAATGAAGTCACTGCGACCTTGACCTTTAATCTCTATAACTTTCCCACTTTTCTTTAATGTTTTTAGAAATACATTGTACCCAGTGCAATACCTCATATAGTTCTTTGAGATAAATTGATGTTTCATTAAAAAAAATATCCCAATTTAACAAAGTGACCTTGACATTTGGCCTCTGCAACCTGAACAAGTACCTGACATCTTGGTGAATGAACGAGCTTTTAGTTTGTATTCAATTTGTAACTTTAATAAAATGTTCAAGTCTAGAAGTTTTGAACCTTGTGAAGGAGAGACAGTTGAATAATGCTCGCAGCCACATTGGTGTTCGAAGAAATTTGAAATAAATGCATCAATTTTTATCTAATTTTAGGGGTGAAACTGGTATTTCACACTACAGTGAAAGGAATTAATTTAAATATAATAACTTCCTACACTATTTTTTCATGAAGCAGTGTTCAACCGATGGCATGGCCGATATGTTACAGCATTTTAAACTTCTGCTTTCTGCAGCTGCAACATATCCGATACATTAGTGAATAAATCTTCATTTTACAAAACAATGTTTTCCCTTATAACTCTTTCTTTATAGTGACGTTTCCAAGTCATTTTGATAAATGAAATAGACAACCTACATTTTGAAAACTCAACACAACACGATTTCGCTCTTATTCTGTCATCAATTTTGTACAAAAACTTCACTGAGTCATCAGAACTTTTGATTTCAAAATTTATGTTTTTGTCCGATTTTATCAGCAAGAACAAAGAGCGCAATTAAAATAGCTTGTTTTGTCATGCAGTGCTAAAGATGTATTGTTTAATGAATTCCTAAATAGCCTTATAAGTTTTACTTTCTTCGAGATCTAGAAATATATTTGCTTACATATAATCTACTGTGAGATCCAAGGATATAAATAAAACAAGAGGCCCATGGGCATTAACGGTCACCTGATATATTTATACAGAGAGTTGATTTTGTTTTTAACATGAACAGAAATATTATTCAAAGTGACAAAAAACAATAAAACCACCTTATTCAATATCTAGCATACAGATTTCAGACTAAAAAGTATTTGAAACTAGCACCTCTGATTCTAAACAAGGAAAATGAAGAAATTTTAGCATACTGACTCCTTTGAGCCCCACCCTACAGCCCTTGGGGGTAGGGCTGGCTCAAA